ATAATGGTCACACAAGAGAAGATTTAGAAATAAATCAACCCAAAGTAATAAGATACCTATCCAAATACAGTAGAGTGTGAGAATGGTATAGTATTGCACATTATTTCATTTTGTTGTACACAAGGCTGCTATAAGTCAGAACCAAATTGATAGGACTGAGTAACACCAATATTAAATTCTTAAACAATTGTTAAAATTTAACATAAATTTAAAATTAATCTTCCAAATCACATACACACACACACAAATAATTCTTTCTTCCTTGTACATAATTTTACTCAGTCACAGGCCATGATGAATTCTAAGTTGTTGAAATATCTTCCATTGCTCAAGATACAAAATTTACAAATAGAAAAGAAAAACTATAGTAACAACTTATGTAGATTAAAAAGCAATTGGGTATAATGGAGCAAGGAGCAAAAGTGCTCAAGCAAATTACAGCCTACATGTTTTATTTCTAAAGAAAATGTTACTAATTATACACCCCAGGAAGCCCTGGTGATGTATTAGTTATGCATTGGGCTGCTGTTCTAAACCATCAGTCACTCCAAGGGAACAAGAGGGAGTTTTCCTAATCCCTTAAAGAGTTATAGTCTTGGAAACCCACAGGAGCAGTTCTACTCTGTCCTACTGGGTTGCCATGTTTGACATTGACTCAATGGCAGTGAGTTATTGTGGGAGCCCTGGTAGCATAATGATATACACACTAAGCTGCTAACTACAAGGTTAGTGGTTTAAATCCACCAGCAGCTCCACAAGAGAAAGATGAGGCTGTCTTCTCCCATAAAGATTCAAATCTTTGAAACTAAAGGGACAGTTCTACTCCGCCTATTAATTAGTGTGAGTGGTAATTGACTCAATGTCAGTTTGTTTTTTTAATTCTATACCTCACCCCTTCTCTTGTCAATTTACTGTATTATAGTGGCTTGTATGTTGCTGTCAATTTGGAAGCTTTGTCACTAGTATTTCAAATGTCAGCTGGGTCATTCAAGGTGAAAAGTCTAAGAACAGACTATGAAAAAGTAATAGGCTGCTAAGTTATGAAGATTTAGCTACTGAAAACCTAAAGAATAGCAGCAGAATACTGTCAAATTTAGTGGCAGAAGATGTATCTCTCAGATTGGAAGGCACGCAAAATATAACTGGAGAAGAGTTACCTTCTCTAAGTAGAGCCAACCACAATAATGTGGAAGGAGCAAAGCTTTCAGAACTTTCAATTGTTGATGTGGAATGATTTAAAATGAGAAGAGCTGCAAACATCTATTAACTACCACTATGTGAAATGCATGAGATATGAATCTGGAATATTAGAAACCATAAAAATTAAATGTAATGCAAAATGGTTGATATTCTAGCCATATGCCTGTGGAAGTTGGACATTGAATAAGGAAGATTGAAGAATAACCAATGCATTGGAATAGTAGTACTGGCAAAGAATATTGAAAGTACCTAGGACTGCAGTAAAATAAACAAATATGTCTTAGAAGTATAGCCAGAATTCTCCTTAGAAGTGAAGATGGCTTTTGTTGCTTTGTTTTGCTCGGCCTTGTTTTTGTACATGTTATCATCTGCACAGGTCTGTCTAAATAAGATAGGCTGGATGAACAATCTGGAGGAGAAAACAATGGGACCGATGATTCCGGGGGTCACTGGAGAAGGGAAGGTGGGGGAAAGGAAGTGGTGTTAACAAACCCAGGGACAAGAGAATAATAAGTGATACAAATTGGTGGTGAGGAGGTTGTAGGAGGCCTGGTATGGCCTAATCAAGGATAATGTAACCTAGAGGAATTACTGAAACCCAAATGAATGCTGAGCATGGTAGTGGGACAAGAGGAAAGCAAAAGGAAATAGAGGAAAGAGCTAGGAGGCAAAAGGGATTTATAGAGGTCTAAATACAGGCATGGACATATGTAAATATATTTATATATGAGGATGGGGAAAGAACTGTGTGCATATATTTATGGGTTTAGTATTAAGTTGGCAGGACATTGGGCCTCCACTCAAGTACTCCCTCAATGCAAGAATACTTTGTTCTATTAAACTTGCAGTCCATGATGCTCGCCTTCAAGACATGATCGCTGAAGACAAAGTGGGTGCAAAAGCAACTGTGGTGAAGAAAGAAAATGGTGCCCAACTATCAAAAAATATAGCATCTGGTCTTAAACACTTGATGGTAAACAAGTAGCCATCTAGCTCAGAAGCAACAAAGCCAACATGGAAGAAGCACACCAGCCTTTGCGCTCACCAGGTGCCGAAGGGATCAGTTATCAGGCATCAAAGAACAAAAAATCATGTCATTGTGTGCTCACCTCCCCAATACAATTGCTGAAGACAAATGGGTGCATAAGCAAATGTGGTGAAGAAAGATGATTGTGCCCTGCTATAAAAAGATATAGCATCTGGGGTCTTAAAGGCTTGAAGGTAAACAAGCACCTATCTAGCTCAGAAGCAGCAAAGCCCACATGGAAGAAGCACACCAGCCTGTGTGATCACAAGGTGCTGAAGGGATCAGGTATCAGGCATCAAAGAACAAAAAATCATATCATTGTGAATGAGAGGAAGTGCGGAGTGGGGACCCAAAGCCCATCTGTTGGCATTTGGACATCCTTTTACAGAAGGGTCGCGGGGAGGAGATGACCCAGTCAGAGTGCAGTGTGGCAACAATGAAACACACAACTTTCCTCTAGTTCCTAAATGATTCCTCCAACCCCCCACCCCCCACTATCATGATCCTAATTCTGCCTTACAAATCTGGCTAGACCAGAGGATGTACACTGGTACAGATAGGAACTGGAAACACAGGGAATCCAGGAGAGATGATCCCTTCAGGGCCAGTGGTGGGAGTGGCGATACTGGGAGGGTGAAGGGAGGGTGGGGTAGAAAGGGGGAACCAATTACAATGATCTACCTATAACCTGCTCCCTGGGGGATGGACAACAGAAAAGTGAGTGAAGGGAGAAGTCAGACAGTGTAAGGTATGACAAAATAATTATTTATAAATTATCAAGGGTTCATGAGGGTGGGGGGAGTGGGGAGGCAGAGGGAAAAAATGAGGAGTCGCTGCCAAGGTCTGAGAATGATGAGGGCAATGAATGTACAAAATGCTTTACACAATTTTTGTATGTATGGATTGTGGTAAGAGTTGTATGAGCCCCCAATAAAATGATTAAATAAATAGAAAAAGAAATGAAGATGGCAAGACTGATCTTTTGGACTTTAGAGATGTTATCAAAATTACTCCCTGGAAAGGGACATCATTCTTGGAAAAGGAGATAGGCAAGGAAGAGGGGAAGACTGTTGACAAGATGAATTGATAGATAGAGCAGCTGCCACAATTGTCTCAAACACAATTGTGAGAGTAGTGCAGTAGTAGGCAGTGTTTCATTTTATTGTACAAAGTAAGTGTCACTGTGAGTCAGAACTGACTTGTGGCACTTAACAATAACAACAGTGCTATACCATTACTCAACAATTATTAATAGAATGTTATCTTCATGACACGTTCATATTCAGAATAAATAATTAGTTGTTTTCTTTTTCAGGTAGCAAGTTAGAAATTTCTTATCGTATGAAATATCTGTAATGGCACAGAAAACACATTTTAATAAGAAACTATCCTCCACATACTTGAATAAGTCTGTACTGATAGAGATATATAGGAAATTGGTATTATTAAAGGCCTTTGAGCAACATCCTTAATTGTTATCAGAGGCTATAGTAAGTAAGAATGGCTGGAAAGAATAAGATAGAAAATATTAAGTGTTATAATTTTTAAATGTTATAATTTCCAGTAGTATTTGAAACTACTGATTTTAAGCTGGATTAAAATTTAACAAGGCTTCTATAAGTTATAAGTGATGGGTACTATCTGAAATAGTGACAATAAACAAAAGTAACATTTAAAAAATATATTTAATAAATTTAATTTAAAATCCTGTGCTTATTCTGCCTTCAAACCTGACTTCATCTGATGCAGTTCAGGGCTAATGGCTTAGATGTAGAAAATTGGAGAAACACTAAGGATGTGATGAAGCCAAATGCCAAACATTCATTAATTACATACATATGTGCACGTGTGAACACAGACATAATACACAGACATACACAGTCAGATGATCTATAAAAGAAGCAGAAAAAAAGACGAATATTTATATAATCCTGGATATGAGTCATCTTGTTATACTGTAACTGCCGCCAAATTTGATTTGATAAATTTTTTAAATAAAACATTTTAAAATTATTTCCAGCCATAAATTGGCTAAACAATTAGAATTCCTAATATGATGATTAATAATAGCTTAGTAGAAGTACGGAAACTATAGCAAAAGTTTCTAATAGCTTAATAGATGTATGGAGAAATAATATGGTAAATCACAAAAATAATAATAAATGGTCAACAAATATATTTTCAAAGAAGAGCATATTAAAAGTGTAAATACAATTGTATATATAGGTTTCCTCCCCCTCTATCTGAAAATGGCAAATCTTAAAGATAAAATCCTTCTGATATCAGAATGTAAATTGGTAAATTACCAGGAAACAATTTGATCAAAAGTTTGGATGGAAATATAGAGATACAAATGTTTTAACTGCTGTATAAAAGTCATTTCATTTTTTATATATGTCCAAACACACCAAGGCGTACGCTTCACGGCCCTCATTGCAAAATGAATTAAATATCACCAGCAACAGGATATGCTATATATCCCACATATGTGTGTGTTTGTGTGTGTAATTATTCATCCTCACTTTTCCAGTTACCAATTACAAGTTACACATAGAATTTCTAAAAGCATGTTGCATTTTTTAATGTTTGTTATAAAAAGAAAGATACAAACCATGTAACTAACACTTCCTGATAGGTTCTGTAAACCTATCAAATGAAATGTATCATGTTACATTTATTGTAATGATTTTAATTACTATTCTAAATTGTCTATTTTTAAATCTAAATAATAAATGAAAATATCAAATAAAAACCACAGTCAAAGAAAACAAACCTTATAAATCTATTGAAAAGGAAGACTGTGCTACGAATTACTCGTGCTGTACGGGATTCTTCATGCTGAGACCTAGATAAATTTAAGCCATCATCCATGTGGCCTTCATGGTGCATGATAGCCTGTAAGCAAGCAAACAATACCATTATTTGCACTTAATAATGTACTTAATAACAGAACTTCAAAATATATAAAGAGTGATAGAATTGTAAGAAAAAATAGAAAAATTCATAGGTATACTCACATATTCAATATCCTCTCAATAATAAATAGAACAAGTAAGAATATAAAAAAGATGAACAACCTCATCAACAAAACAGATGTGCTCCTTTGTAAGATAAGAAATCTGTACTTAAAATATTAAGAGTAATAAGAATAAATAGAACCCAAAGATATGTCAAGGAGAATGAAAAGTTGTTATATGTTGGTAAAGTTATATGCAGAGGTTCCTGTAAAAAATTGTCACCCAATTTATCTATACAATTACTGTTTTGATTATTGAGTTAATAAAATTATTGAGCTAAGTAAAACAAAGAGCAGTGTTTTTCTGTATCTACACTCAGCAATGATCCACAGCCCAAGTAAATCTGTGAACTAAGTTGCAAAGGAAATATTACATTATCACTATGAGTGACAACATTAGCTCTGAATCAATCAGAGCAATTAATCAACAAGAACAAAAACAATGTTTTTAAAACTTTGAATTATTGGAATTACATATTCATTTTATTGCTAGTTTTCTAATACTTTTAATTTTTGAACACTCTATTAAAGTAAAACATTTGGACAGATAAGAGGCAAAAGTTCTAAATGAATGTTACCAAATGAATAACCAGGTAACACTCACATCAAACAGAATATTCCAGCATCTTCCAATAGCCCCTAGCTGTCCCTTCCTGGTGCTGTTCCCTATGTGGTTTTTAATACTTTAACTGGGGGCTCTAACATCTCTTATCACAATCCATACATTCATACAGTATGCCAAGCACCTTTGACTTTTATAATACAGATTCACCATGTTGGTTCTGCCACACAAGTAAATGAGCCAGGCAACATGAAGTTTTGTATCTGGCTTTCTTCAGTCCATATTCATAAATAGATATGCTTTGAACAGTTTTATTGACATGTAATTTAGATACAATATAATTTCATGGTTTAAGTATATTTTAACTATATTTTGACTTATTTAAAAGTTGTTTCAGTTTAAATTTTTTTTAAAGTGAAAGGAAAATACACATGTATCAAGCCTCTGGTGAATCCCCACTGACCATAGACCAAGGAAGTGAATTGCCTTACTAGCATGCAGAGTACATTGGAGAGATTATCACAGATACAGTTAGGTTAAAATTTAACACCTATCCTTTCATCTCCCTTTGACCCATTTATATTTTGTTTTAGCTTTTAATCCTTTCTGCTTAATATTTAATTAAGATTTTTCTCCCTTTTATGTTTTCATTATTGTTAGTTCTTTTGTTTTGTCTTTTTGGCATGTTTTTTCTCTGTAAGAAATCCAGGATAGGTAAAGCTATAGAGACAGTAACTGGATTAATGGTTTCTTGGGAGTATACAAGGGAAGGTTGTGAGAAAATGGGGAGCTAATAACAATGAGCACAATAAAGAAGAAAATGCTCTAAAATGTATTGTGGTAATAATTGTACAACCTTATACAAATCAAACTACTTAATTAAATGATATGTGGATCATGTGCTAATAAAACTGTTTAAAACTTTGAAGCAGTATCAGAACAGTAAATACCTTTAATAAAAAAATATTACTAAAATAAAGAAACTCAATGTTCATTTTAGTGCTATATATAAAGAACAACAAAATAATTGTAATAAAGTGAAATTGGGAAATATTTAATTAACTAGGAACAAATGGAATATGAGAAAAGGATGAAACCAAAACACTCACGGGCATTGAGTCAATGTCTCTCTCTCTGTCTCTGCCATCGAGTGGAAGCTGACTCATAAGGAAAATCAAGGGAAATAGAGGAAAGAGCTGGGAGGAAAAGGGCATTTATAGAGGTCTAGATAAAGACATGTACATATGCAAATATATTTATATGAGGATGGGGAAATATATCTATGTGCATATATTTATAGGTTTTGTATTAAGGTAGCAGAAGGACATTGGGCCTCCACTCAAGTACTCCTTCAATGCAAGAATACTTTCTTCTATTAAATTGGCATTCTCTGATGCTCACCTTCCCGACACAACCGCTGAAGACAAAGCGGGTGAATAAGCAAATGTGGTGAAGAAAGCTGATGGTGCCCGGCTATCAAAAGATATAGCGTCTGGGGTATTAAAAGCTTGAAGGTAAACAAGCGGCCATCTAGCTAAGAAGCAACAAAGCTCACATGGAAGAACATATCAGCCTGTGTGATCACGAGGTGTCGAACAGATCACTGAAGACAAATGGGTGCATAAGCAAATGTGGCAAAGAAAGCTGATAGTGCCCGGCTATCAAAAAGTATAGCATCTCGGGTCTTAAAGGCTTGAAGGTAATCAAGCGGCCATCAAGCTCAGAAGCAACAAAGCTCACATGGAAGAAGCACACTAGCCTATGCAATCACGAGGTGTCAAAGGGATCAGGTATAAGGCATCATCAGAACAAAAAATCTTACCATAGTGAATGATGGGGGCAGTGCGGAGTAGAGACCCAAAGTCCATTAACAGGCCACTGGAGACCCCCTTGCAGAGGGGTCTCGGGGAGGAGATGAGCCAGTCAGGGGGCGATGTAGCAAGGATGAAAAATACAACTTTCCTCTAGTTCCTAAATATTTCCTCCCCGCTCCCACTATCATGATATGAATTCTACCTTGAAAGTCTGGCTAGGCCAGAGGATGTACACTGGTACAGATAGGAACTGGAAATACAGGGAATCCAGGACGGATGATCCCTACAGGACCAGTGGTGTGAGTGGTGATACAGGGAGGGTAGAGGGAGAATGGGTTGGAAAGAGGGAACCGATTACAAGGAACTATATGTGACCTCCTTCCTGGGGGAATGGACAACAGAAAAGTGGGTGAAGAGAGACGTCAGACAGGGCAAGATATGACCAAATAATAATTTATAAATTATCAAGGGCTCATGAGGGAGGGGGGAGCGGGAATGGAGAGGAAAAATGTGGACTTAATGCCGGGGGCTTAAATGGAGAGGAAATGTTTTGAGAATGATGAGGGCAATAAATGTACAAATGTGCTTTACACAATTGATGTAGGTATGGATTGTGATAAAAATTGTATGAGCCCCTAATAAAATGATTTTTTTTTAAAAAAAGAATACTACAGGAGGGGGTAGAACTGCCCTTGTGAGCTTACAGACTATAACCCTTTTTGAGAGAAGAATGTCCCATTTTTGTCCCAAAGTGGCAGTTTCAAGCTAGATCCTGGAGGTGACCAGCCCACCCTGGAATCACTATACCACCAGAGCCCCTAGAAAAAGGATAAGCAAACCTAAAATTTGGTACAGTGGGAAGATAAAGCTCTCAAAAACAAGAGGAAAGGAAATTAAAAGGCAAAACATTATAGGTAATAAGGTAGAAAAATAGATTAAAATTAATATTAATAAGTACTACCTGCAATACTATTGGAGGAATGGACAAAAAGATATCTGAAAGGAAATGATGACTTTTTAGTAAATTAAAAATAAGCAGGAGGACTATGAAAGTAGAATGTTGAATGATTCCTTTAGTGCAGACTGGAAAAGTAAATCCAAGATTTGAAAGGCCCTAGGGATAGATTCTATCCACACTTGAAATCTAATAAACTGGAAGGGTTCTATGATTTTGTAGCAATACTTTTTGAATTACCATTGTAATAACTCTAAATAAAATATTACTTAATCAAATGCAATAGGATTTCATAAAACAATACACAATGGGCAAATTCACATATAAAATTCCATGAATATAAGGATCATTCACACTAAATGGAATATATACACTAAGTGGGGTAAAGGATGATTCAGTGATATTTTTGAAAGTTTCAAATATGCAAATATCTAAATAGTATGCAAAAATAAAAATAATTTCACCTGCTTTCTGAATAAGCAGCCAGTGAAAACTCCATAGATCCCAAGCTCCGATCCAATTGTCCATGTTATCACCGTGAGAATAATGTAAAGATATAAGCTAACTAGGAGGTATGTAAAAACTGGAAGGTACACAGTGGAAATTTTTTAGTCTGTCATGGCCATACTTAAATCTCCCCAAAATGTTTTAATGTAATGTAGGTGGATTTAAAAGTAGTGACATATTTACAGTAGAGACAGAAATCCCCAGGTGATGCTTCTTCCATGTTCACTTTGTTGCTTCTGAGCTAGATGGCCACTTGTTTATCTTCAAGCCTTTAAAACCCCAGATGCTATCTCTTTTGATAGCTGGGCACCATCAGCTTTCATCACCACATTTGCTTATGCACCAATCATGGTGCAGTATAGCACCAATGAAACACACAACATTCCTCTAGTTCGTTAATGCTTCCTTCCCCCCACTATCATGACCTCAATTCTACCTTACAAATCAGATTAGACCAGAACATGCATACTGCTACAGATAAGAGCCTGTAGCACAGGGAATCCAGGATAGATAAACTCCCCAGGGCTAACAATGAGAATAGAGATACCAGGAGGATAAAGGGAAGGTAGGGGGAGAAAGGAGAAATCGATCACAATGATCAACATATAACCCCCTCCCAGGGGGACGAACAACAGAAAAGTGGGTGAAGGGCAACAGAGGACAATTTAAGATATGAAAATAATAATTTATAACTTATCAAGGGTTCATGAGAGAGGGAGGCTGAGGGAGGGAAAGGGAAAAATAAGAAGCTGATATAAACGGGTCAAGTAGAAAGAAAATGCTTTGAAAATGATGATGGCAGCTTATGTACAAATGTGTTTGACAGAATCGATGATTGTATGGATTGTGATAAGAGAAGTAAGCACCCAATAAAACTATTAAATTAAAAAAAAAGAAAACCATATGAAAAAGTGCTACTCTGTAAAACTATAAGGGGTTTAGAGTTTTATTTAAATTAACTCTCTGATGGTCTAAAGATCTGATTAACTCACTACCCTAAACAAGACTGGAAGCATCTAAACCTTTCTTGCCAAACTATTCTAGTAAGATAATCTATATACTTGTCTATGGATCCCTGGTGGCGCAGCACTAAGTTTGTGACTACTACTCAAAAAGTTTAGAGCCAGCAATGATAACATAAGAAAAAAAACTAAGAGTCCGTTTCAGTTAAAAATACAGCTCTTTGAAATAATAACAGCCAATTTATCTATTTCTCTTCCATTCAACATTTACAGCCTTACAAACGGAATGTAGCAGTTTTTCTCTGTCCTCCAGAATCACCATGAGTTGGAATTGACTTGAAATCTTTGGTTTTGAATCTGATTCAGGTGATGTCTGTTTCATGTGCAGAATATAAGTTCCATTTTCAATTTAGTGTAATCCATAATTAAGAAATAAGAAAGAAGAATGAATTAAACTACAGGATTACTAGAGTGCAAATGAATATGGGGTGAGAGGAGATAAGTATTCTAAAATATCCTGACTCAAAGGACACTGTAACAGCAGTTGGCTATGTGGGTGGTGACTATAATTTGGAAAAAATCTTTAGGTGCTGTCTGGAAAATATGTTTGTGAACTACACAGGTGTGTGTGTGTGCATATACATATTGATCAATCGATATTGGACGATATGCACAAATGAGGTTAACACATGTATGAAAATACAAAGTTCTACTCCACTAGAGCACTTTGTTCTAAAGTCTCACATTTGTAGAAATCAAATTTGTCTTATTACTTTGTGCTATGGTGAGTGTAGATATACAAACAATATGATACAAAATAGGAAAGAGAGATATGTAGGCAAGTAAACAAAATAGCTTACAAAATGTACACAAAATATAATAATAAGTTAATAAGTTATATACATATGTTATGAAAACTCCAAGTAGGGCAAAGCACATAATAGGAAATGGAAGTAATTCCTAACATCATCTTTATATTAAATGGAGGAGATGTAGGATGTGGGAAGAAATAAAGAGCTTTAGAAAGGTATTTCAAACTGAGGAATTAATAGGGACTGTCCCTGAGTTATGAACAAGATATGTTCCTAAGCACATCATTAAATTTAGAAAGATTCACATGATTATTAATAGCCTCACATGTGTGCATATGTATGAAAGAAAATATCTGCTTTTTCAATGATTTAAAAGCTGCACATCCAGCAAGGGAAGGTGATTGTAATGAAGAATTTATTGAAAGGAGGATTTATCCAATTATATTAGAGTGAAGAAAATGAACATAACATTAAAGAGCAAGTACATAAATCATCAGCTCATATTGAATAAGTCAAACATTTGTAACACTGAGAATCATCCACTATCTTTTAATTCCATTTTTCTGTGAACATTTTGAAGCCTCTTTTATATATATAGGCCCAGATAAGTATAAACTAAGAGGAAATGCAATGTGTGTACTATAAATGGCAGGGTAAAGTAATTAAAAGTGATGACTAGAGATTAGTAAAAGTGTAGGAGAATAGGGCAGAGGTGAGACAGGAATCAGGCTTGCTACCAAAAAGTTAGGCCTTTATCTTGAGAGCAAAGAGAAGTTCCTGAATAACTTAGAGCTGAAAAGGTACATGAATATTTATGCCTTCAGAAACATTCTAGCAGCAGCATGGAATTTAAACTGGACACAGTAAGATTCCAGTCCAGTAGAGAGTTTATTTCTTAATTTAATATTCAAATACATAAATCCTATGAAGGAATATATGCCCTCAAGAATGTTTACATTATATTATTTTTAAAATGGTCTCTTTATGCTTGAATTTAGCCTATAATAACAAACAATACATGGAATATATGAAATAGTGAACATAGCCTATACCTAAAAATGTTAGTTAACCCTTCATCTTGTGTCTCAGCATTTTACACATATAAAGTGACTGCTATAAATTGGAGTTTCCCCAAATCTTACCTTACGTTGAATAGAACCTATTCTCACGGATTTCACATCCACAGACTGGTAAGTAAGCCACAGGCCTGTATCCACATGTTGTATATAGCACACTGAGTCACCATATTTTATTTCAGATGTGCCCATACCATCTACTTCTTTTCTTATGCCTAAATCCAATTTCTCCTAAGGAGAGAAAACAAAAACATACAATCAAACACTTGGAAAATATTAGCATAAATCAAAAGAAATGATCTCATCATAGATATGATCTGTGAAAAAGATAGTCCTTTGAAATACTAAGAGACAAACCGTCTGCTCTACTTCCACTCAACATACCGGGAAAATGAAAATAGGGAGCTATAAAAATAAATACATATATATATTCTTACACTATTCACATTGACAGAAAATTATTTGGATCATAAAGTAGGATTTAGTATTGCTTAATAAAAACTCCAAATCAAGAATTTTTAAAATAGTACTTTAAGTTTAATATTCATCGGTAATTGTTTTTTATTGATTGGTCATTGAAACATAAACTTTGGAGACAAAAGTATCAAGTTTTGAGTCCAACAATTGCCACCTTTTACTTCTGTGATTGTGGAATAGCTTAATTGAACATTTTAAGCCTCAGTTTTTAATCTATAAATAAAGGCAGTAAAAGTAACTTTTGATAAAAAAAATGAACTAATGTATACGAATCCCTCAGCATAGATATTTGACCATAGTAATGGTGACAGTGATGATAAGGGTGAGAAGGGTGTTAGCGATGGTGAGCTTTCAAGAACTAATCAAGGCTATAATTCAGTTTCGACTAGTACTAGTAATTAGGTTAAAAGGGATGTCATGAATAAGCATCTTTTGCTAAAAAGAAGCTGTCAATTCTCTGACAGCAACTTGATGTTTTATACAAATTCCTATTCATTTTTGGAGTGATGGAGAAAGATGGGGAAAAGAGTGGATGCTCCCACTTACATACACAGAAAATAACTTACTGAACAACGAATAAGAGCAAGAACAGATTGAGATGGCAAATCTCGATGGCACCTAAGGTGTTGGAAAACTGAGGTGTTTCCATAAGCATGGAAGACAAGGTGCAGGGACACCACTGAATCTAAGAGAACCTACTCACTAACAACAGTAGCTCTTGCTCATTACAGGCATTTCAGGAGACTGTGATGCTGTCAAAGAATGCTGGTGAATCTCACTAAGGCCAGAGATGGATAGACATTAAGACCAGGAAAAATGTCCAAGGTAGCTGGCAAGGGGAATATTTTAGAATTACAGGTGACTAAAGAAAAAGCTGTAGAGACCCTCCTCTTTTGTCACAGGACACTAGCACTCACCACTTATCTCATTTTCTAAGTACACCTAAACACTCTTCTTCCCATGTATGTATATTGAATTGTAGAGATCAAGCATCTGGAACTGCTGTATGTGCGTGAGTGTGAGTGTGTCTATGTGTGTGTTTGAACAGAGAAAGAGATTACAGAAAAACACCACAAAGCCACATGGATCTTCATAAGGAGCAAGAGTATAATATTTCAGAAAACAAATTTAATCATTAAATTCCACAAAGACTCTAACATAAAGTTTGTAAGAAATAAGTATAAAACATCCAAATGGAATATTGGTTGTACACTGCTGTTAATAGAGACATACCATCTTAAATGAAGGGGGAGGATTAATAGCAGAAATCAATTTATTATGCTAATGTTATTTCATTTGTTAAACATTGCTTCAATTGTAAATTTTGTAATGTGTTTTAGGTGATCCCCTAGTAAGAAATCGTCACAAAAAATCATTCAGAAGAAAAAGTAGAAGAAAGGAAACAGACTCATGATAAGAAATCAGGAAAATTTAAATAAAAATTGAACTATCAGAATATACAAACTAAGATGATAGAACACTCTCTAAAATAAACAGAAAAATGAATAAAATAGAGCTTTACCTATAGGAATAACTAAATGGGAACTGTCTATACAGCCCATGTAAAAGGCAGAAAAAGCCAGGATGGATGCAAAACTACGAACCATCCATTTGTTGTCTGCAAGAACAATTTCTCAGATATAAAGATGCACAAAAATATCTAGAATAAAATGGAAGAAAATATGCCCCGCAATCATTAAGAAAAAAAGATCAGGAGCCATAATGGCATCAGATAAAGTGTACCTTAAATCAAAATAAGCTATAAGCAAAATAAGATTTAAACAGTGGGGGGAATATGGCTGTCAGATAACAAGCACAGTAGATAAGGAACAACTGGGAGAGACAGCCTGCACTCATCGGGTGCAAGAAAATCAACATAAAACTAAATAGAACAAAGTTTCTGAAAAAACTGGGAGCTCAGCAACATCTGTGCTCAGACTTCCCTTTACAACTGACCGGGGGCACTATCTCTTCTTTGTGCCCCACAGCATCCCCAGCATAGTTGATTTTGAACCAGGCCTTGAGTCAACTCAACCAGTCAAACTTGCTGGCCCATGAGGGCCAGACCTGGATAGCAGACCAGGAAGAAGTTTGATGCACATATTCTCAGTACCCAATCACTTGTGTGTCATTTTGTCACACTGCGGTGGCTTGTTTGTTGCTTTGATGCTAGATGTTATGTCACTGGTATTTCAAAGGCCAGCAGGATCATCCAAAGTGAACAAGTTTAGCCTAGCTTCCAGACTACACACAGACAATGAAAAAAGACTCACCTCCCTTCTTCAGAAGAAGATGCCACTGAAAACTATGCACAGCTTGAAAAGATTGTCAGAGACTGAAAGCCTAATGAATGGAAGTAGAATATTGGCTGAGACAGTGACAGAGAATGGGTCCCTTGGTTCAAAGGATACTCAAAATGTAATCAGGAGGAAATGAATTCTTGGAGTAGAGTCAACCAACATGAAGTGAGACAGGTAAAGCCTGTGGGAGTGGACCCTTCATTATACTCATTTGTTTATAGTGCACAACTCAAGATAAGAAGACACAGCTGCAAACATGCCCATAAATAGAAGAATGGAAAAAGAAGTCCTGGTACATAAAAACAATGGAAGGTTATGCATCTCTAAAAAAGCAGTGATAAAACTGAAACAACTCAGCAGAGCAGAGAGCCCTTGAGGAAGTAAAAAGGACAGACTCTGGGGCCAGAGCATGATACCCCATTGGTCCTGACTGAAGGACACCCTACAGATAAAAAATCAGACCTTGCTCTATTTACAGGTTTTCTTTCTGTTTAAAAATGTTTTCTTAGCTGATGGTGCACAGCTATCAAAAGATATAGCATCTGGGGTCTTAAAACCTTGAAGGTAAACAAGCGGACATCTAGCTCAGAAGCAACAAAGCCCACATGGAAGAACATATCAGCCTGTGTGATCACAAGGTGTCAAACTGATCACTAAAGACAAATGGGTGCATAAGCAAATATGGCGAAGGAAGCTGATAGTGCCCGGCTATCAAAAAGTATAGCGTCTGGGGTCTTAAAGGCCTTCAAGGTAATCAAGTGGCCATCAAGCTCAGAAGCAACAAAGCCCACATGGAAGAAGCACACCAGTCTATGCAATCACGAGGTGTCGAAGGCATCAGGTATAAGGCACTATCAGAACAAAAAATCTTACCATAGTGAATGAAGAGGGGAGTGCGGAGTGGAGACCCAAAGCCCATTAGTAGGCTACTGGAGATCCCCTTGCAGAGGGGTCTCCGGGAGGAGACAAGCCAGTCAGGGTGCAATGTAATAACGATGAAAAACACAACTTTCCTCTAGTTCCTAAATGTTTCCTCCCAACTCCCAGTATCATGACACAAATTCTACCTTGCAAGCCTGGCTAGACCAGAGGATGTACACTGGTACAGATAGGAACTGGAACTACAGGGAATCCAAGGAGGATGAACCCTATAGGACCAGTGGTGTGAGTGGTGATACAGGGAGGGTAGAGGGAGA